GCTACTGTTTCTTGTTTATTTCTGTTTGGTCAATAAATACATTTCAAATAAAAGCTAAAAAGCTGTCTGATTGGTATACAGCAATCGACATTTACGTACACACACTTTTTTTTTTAAATCAACAAAGGGAGGGAGAATATCAAACAAACTATTTAAATATTTAAAAGCTCAAACCAACTATTTACATATAAGCTATAGAAACACTCTAATCCAGGTATCCGGTAAAAAAAGAAAAAGTGAGACAGAAGGTCAAACATGCCCCACTTGCCACACCTACTGACTGCCTGAGGAGAGGGAGAGACCCCAACGCTTTGGGCAGAAAAGCTGTGCAGCATGCACCTTTCCTCGCCTTTTCCCTGATGGTCTATTTAAGACACAAAATTTGTTGCTAGTCGCTTTTTAGAAATCAAATTGATACGGTCTGAGAAATCACTAAATCTAGCGTCAGCAAGTTGGCAACACTGATTGATTTTGGGTGTGTATGTGTGCATCTGACGTAGCATAGAGCAGGTGCTGGTACCAGCTCACCTTTTCCGGATTTAAAACACCTTGTAATTAAAGATCCAGTCTGTAGAATTCAGTGGCATCTAGCGTTGCAGAACTCCCTGGCTTCAGCCTTCCCTCCAAGCGCAATGGTGACTACGAAATGCTGCGTTACTGCAGAAACATGGCAGTTCAACATGGTGGACTCCATGGAAAGCGACCCGAGTCACCTGTAGATAAAAACACAACTTATTTTCAGGTGATTATACACTAATGAAAACATACCTATAAATGTTATATTCCAGTAAAAAAATTTTCCTATATATTTGAAAGTCTGTGTGTATTTGAAATATATCTGTGACTGCATGTGCTGCACTTGATAAAGTGTGAAAAAGTCCAAACATTTCACACTGTTAGGGAGGTTTTGGTGTATCACAGCCAAGTCACATTATGGACTGTGTGTGTGTGTGTCATAACAAACACGACTTTTTACCCACTTTGACATGCACATGCTTGTGTGCAATAAAATCCGCCTGATTTAGTGTTCTAATCTTTGTACAAAGGAACAACACACATATTATATTCAATGAATGCTCTAATGTCACTCATTTCGCACTTCAGTGTAAAAAAACTGGGCATATCTCCTATTTTAAATCTATATTATGAGTTAAAAGCTTGCTATCTCTTTAAATTCCCTCAGTACAGTGGAGAGTCAGGATGATAATGACCACTTAGTGAATGGGGGTGGCGTTTCCCCTCTGACACAATAGCAGTCTTTCACATCACTCACACACGCGCACACACACACACACACAACTACAGTCCCTGTCTGTCATGCACACACATGCATACACTCACATACTGTCAAACACAAACACATGCTATCATCCTCTCTTTGCCCCACCCCCCCCCTTTCTCTCAAACACACACACACTTTCACAAAGAGTCTACACTTAAAACACTGAGTTGCTGTTGTATGCTGTTATTCTGAGAGGGAGGAGAAGGGTGGGCAGGCTGTAGAATGAGAGAGGAGACAAGAGGAGATGCCCTGCAGTACCCTTTAAAGACAACTGTCCCTTTGTCTTCCACCATGTCCGTCTGTCGGTCAAGATTAAGTTCATTGTCACGTCTGTCAAGAAATGTCTTCTTTTTTTAGCTTTTAAAATATTCACATTTCCACACGTCCAACTATTATATAATCTACTCATTTCCTTAATGAGAAATTCTCCAGACATCCATGCATCATTCAACAGTTAAGTAACAGTTAAAGTGTTCCTGACAGATTCTAATTTTTATAATCAGTGTTTATGTATTCAGTATATAAATATGACAAATCCATTAATTTGACACTGTAGTCTGAGATTAGCATATTATTCAGGTACAGTACTTTTTAAACTGAAATGTCATTAATCAAATTTTGAAAACTCCCCACAAAACCAGACTTAAACAATGAACCCCTCTGTAGCTCCAGGCCTTCAACCCCCTTATTCCAACTGCACAGTTGCATCACTTAAGCGCTGAGCTATTGCTTATTCAAGTCAAGGCTGGGGAAACCAGGTAAGGATGAGGGTGAAAGAGAATTATAAATCAAGAGAAAATACCAAACAGTTGCTTCTCCTTCTCCAATGTGATGTTTCCTTTGCTTCTTTCTGCTTATTGATTATTCATATTTGACTGCTGGTCAAAGTTATCAACGCTAGTCATGATAAATTGGGATTGGTCATAATCTTTTTTTATATTTATTACTATAAATTATTGGTAAAATATTCATGCATTAACTGACAAGAAGCTATAATCATTTTCAATCCTGGTTGCATTTTCCAAGTACAGCACATTAGCATGCTGTCGTAACAAATGCTACAGCTTTGTCAGCCCTGTATAGATATTCCTTTATTTGTCCTTTATTTGTGTGTAAAGACAACTGGTCTCTGTATCAGGCTCAGCCCGGCACAGCTCAGCATAGCTTGGTTCTATATGATGTAAAAGAGGCAGAGATCTAGCTAGTAGGGCTAATTTGCCAAATATGTGAGGTAACATATAGTAAATGATGCTTTCACAAGGTTCATTTATGAGAAATCTTTTAAAAGATTTAATATTTTAAGCTGCAATGAAAATGATGATGGAGATAAGCTGTTTTTTATGTCTTTTTCAATAGATATTTTTAAGCTACTGAATAAAATCTTTACACAGAGTACAAGTGTTATGTTTAAAGTGATTAATTTGTTTGGTACTGTGAGCTTGGTCTGTTCAGTGTTTTTAGGATTGTTTGAAAAGTAGACCAGAGGGAGCTGACCCTGTAATCTGCTGAAGGGCCCTAACCCCCATTTTGCTCTGTCTTGCAGCTGCTCTGAGGGGGACCACCACACGAGATCTCTACAGCCACTTTGGTCTCGAACTTGATGACTGAAAAAGGGAAAGAACACTGAGGAAAAAAAAAAAGTATGAAAACGCAGTGGTGAGAATGGTTCCTCAGAACGAGGGGAGAGGGTTTGGGTGTTAACCTCAACCTGTTCCTTCAGGCAGAAATCTGCCCATTTTCTTTATGATTCTGTTTTCACCTCTTTCACAGTGGCTATATTTGATTAATGAGCAATGGGAGACCAGAACGGTGTTAGTCCAGCAGGCAGGCATGATATTTAAAACAGGGCATCTACTAAAACCCTTGTAGGTAACTTAAGGCTGTGACAGGCTACAAGTGTTTATGAGTTTTTCCTACCTTGCTTGTGCAACTTTGAGAGGACCTGTTTTGTTTAAACATTTCTAACATCTAAATGGAATTTGTCAGTTATTTCTCGGTTTGTTATTTGCAAGGCTTGAGTGTCAATTTAAATTGTAAAATAAAATGTTCTGGCTATTAGTATATTATGCTTTGTATGCTGGCAGTAACATGTCGTAAGTAACGCACTCAGACCACCACAGACAGTATGTTCCCATTCGAATCGTTACCTGAAGACACAATGGAAACTAAAGATAGACACAGAGTTCGTACTGTAATTAGAGCATTTATTTTGTGGAATGAAACAGTTGTGTGGAACTATGTCACAAGGTATCACTATAAACTGTTAATCTTTTCACATAGCTATTTAAGTCGGCGCATTCATCAAGTGAAAGTGTAACCGCTAAAAATAGGTCAGGCCAGGTCACCACTGTGTCACTTTTTAAAACATCTTAGTGGAGGGGAAAGGGATATTAGGCAACTGTCACACTCGTTTACAGCTTCCTGTTTGTCTTAGCTAATGGTTTAAATATAAATAAAAGGTTCGGTACCTATTTCCCTTATTTAAAAAAAACCCAAAAAACTCCCCAATGTTGCTCTGCTTGCCTGAAATATGCAGTATACACTGCACAGAGAACGCAGACTAGTGGCATAATACACTGGGTGTGCCCTTATCTGTCTGAGAACCACTGATAGTGTGTCTTCTCTGACTGATAGCAGTGGAGGCGCTTCACAGCCCTGATGATGCTGTTTGACTGTGTGTGTGCATCTGTTCTGAGACTGTATGATGAAGTGTGTGTGTGTGTGTGTGTGTGTGTGTGTGTGTGTGCAAAACAAAGCACAGAAATGTGTGTGTGCACTTTCATCTCTCATTTGCAGGTCAAAGCTCATCTTTTTTTTTTATCTTATCCTGATCTTTGCATCACCTTTAAATGTTCACATACTGGGGTCAGTGTGGTGCATATGTACCAGAGGATAAGTGCTGATGAAGGTGCTCACATGGTTATAATGTAAAACTCTGACTTTATTAGTCTTTGGTGTTACTGCTATATGAAATTTATATTATAATATTTTATAAATTGTTATATTATTGTTAACAATACTATTATCAATGACAATATTTAAAGCATACTGAATAGGATTTTTTCGAAAAAAATGTACAGACTAAAATAATCCCTCTCAATCAAAATTTAAGACCCACTAGAAGTGTGTGGCGGTGTCTGTATTGGATGCATCTCCAATATTTCCACATGTATTGGTTGGCAAACTTGCTAACCTTGTTGAGTGAAGGTTTCCAAATGAGCAGATATGCTGAGGCATTACAATTCAAACTAACTGCTGATGTACTGTAGCGTTTGGTTGCAGGGAAAACCTGCAGGCTGATGGCTAACGGGTTTTTTTTTTTTGTATTATTTATTGTGGATCGTGGCCCGCAGAGGCTTTTGTTTTACACGGTCCTTCCTCAGTCCCCCCCCCTCTCAGTTGACAGATGCGCATGTAAAAGCTCATCTTGTGGATGGAGCGCGGAGTGAATGAATGGACGTGGTGAGGCGGACTCTACGGGCAGAGGCAGGGCTCATTGTACAACCACACGGTTCAGCATCAGGGCCTTGTCACTACCGGGTGGAAACTGCTGTGAGTGCTGGCCTCGCTGTCTGTCGGCAAACAGGCAGGGCCGCACCGCATTTCCTCTTCACCAGTGCCGCAAACCCCGCCCCTGCCGGATGGGATGTTGAAAGAAAATCGCCGCCCCTCATTGGCTCAGGCACCCGCCCGTCCGCGCTTATTCCTGATGCGCTGATGGGACGCTGACGGCGGTGGGCGGGCGCAGCTAAGAAAATTATAAGGTCATTTGAATTACGCTTGCTAGCGAGCTTATCGGCTACAATGAACCCAGAAATGATATCAATGATTGTGACAATGAACGGATGATGATCGCGGGGTCAAAGTCGACGCCCACAGCCAGGCGCATTTGACGCCCGACCCACCGGAGGAGAGGAGCAGCAGCTCGTTGTGGTATTAACAACAGGAGGAGGGGGGGGATCCCGGTGCGTGTGTCCGTCTCTCGGTGCGTTTCTGTGAGCCTCTGTCAAGCCAAGCCGAACGGCGGTGAGGAGAGGAGAGGAGCGGAGGGGGCGACCAGGCTAGCCGATAAGCCGATCAAGGCGGGATCGCACACAACGAGTTTTCACGTCTGGGATTTTCTGCGCACCTACATGCTGTGACGGTGTGAACGAGGTGCAAGGTATGTAAGCAAAAAAGAGAAAAAAAAAAAAATACTGACCCCCCCAAAACCCCCCCACTCTCTCCCCGCAGCCACAGCCCAAGCTGACTGTGCGCCCCCGCGATGCTCAACTTCACTGATGTGCTCCGGTTATTATGTGCTAGGACAACGGGAAACAGTCCCGGTAAAAACGACTCTTATTGTCCTCTGTCAACCTTGTGAGCGCGGGACTCGAGAGGGTGGCTCGACACTTTTTTTAATATCAAAGACAGCTCTCGGTCCATGAAAGGTAATTTATGTGAACGTGGACTGCATATTCAGCATGCCCCCTTCATCCTGGACGACGCTGCTGCTGTCACACTGTCCGTCCGCTTCCTTGCTTTTAAGCCGATGCGCGCAGTGCGCTGCGCATCCTGCTTCCCCGGCGCGCAGTTACCATGATCACCTACGTGAGGTTAGCCCGAGAAACATGGTCCATTCGAGGTTTTGAAGGCCCGGTCTGCAGGCGCACATGGCACGGTTAGTGAGGCGTAGTCTAACCAACAGTGGGTTGAGCCTCTCTATCGTTTCCCCCATCCACTACCGCAATATGATGCTACGCGCCTTTAAATTTCCGGGTGTAGCAACGGCAGCGAATGATGAAGCTGTTTTCTTCTTCTTCTTCTTCTTCCTTACTGTGAAGTGGCTGCTGCCCTCTTAATGCATCTGTTTCCCTTGACGTGTGACAAATCCTATCGTGTCTGACAGTCACAGTAATTTAATCGACCTCCGCAAGCTCACTTGTAACACGGAGCGTCGGCCTGTGTTTTAAATAGCAGCAGACTTGTTGAATTGCTATGACATAGTCATCATCACGATTACAGCCACATGCAGGGAGACAGCAGTAAATATGTAGTCAGCATCTTGGCTCTAGAAAATATGCTTAAAACAGATATCTTCACACACAAAAAAAGCCCATTTGTTCCATAATGATAAACAGAAATAACAACCCTGCAGTGTTTCTCTACATGGGCCAATGAATAGATAATAAGCGGTCCTGTAAACCTATCCTTCCCTGCTTTAGGATCGTCTTCCCAGCTATCTGGTGGCACTGAACACCAATGTCAACACAGGCTGTCCTCTGCTGCTCTCAGCTGTCAGTACAGCCCAGTTGCTTTGAGTTAGGGTTTCCTCAAGGTCTCAGCAGCCCTGGGTTTTATTCAACTGCCGGAGAAACGAAAACTTGTTAGATTTACAGATTTTATACAAGATGATCGCATACAGTAAACGACTGGTTACATATGGGTGACCTCTTGCTCATTTATTACAGGCTTGCAGTCTACCAGAAGCTGAGTCAGTGGATAAAAATGGGCGCAGGATTTGTAAACAAAATTATAGTAGATAACATTCTAGTGGCTTCAATGCCTTTGTGATGATTCTCTTTTTTTTTTTTTTGCTTATTTAAAACACATTTAACCTTTGTCCCACTGAACTGATGTTTGGTCTGAAATGTTTGTGAATAGTTGCTGCAGTCTGCAGCCATTATCCATATCTATTAATATCTGTGTGTGTGTGTGTGCATTCTTTCAGGATGATGCGTCTAGCGTGTTGCGCGGCCCTGCTGTTTGTGTTGAGGCTGCTGGTGGGCTTGCCTTGGTACCAGGTGATCCCGGCCATCCTGATCTTCTACCTGGGCAGTGGAGGATGGCACTTTCTGAAGATATTTGTCAAAACAGTTGGCAGAGACCTACAGTAAGCAATAGGGGTTCCAGTGTTAACCATATTTTAAAAAGTCACGGAATTTAAATGTTGATGCTTTTGAAAGCTGAAAGACTGCTTTGCTATTTTCAATTCGCCGGTCAGGTTTTGTGTTACTGTCTGCTGTCAAAGCAGCCACTGCTAAATTATAGTGCAGCCTGTAAGTATTTTGACAGTGACTAATTTACTGTGGTTTTGGTTCAACACTCTAAAACATTTGACCTAAAGTGAAACACGCGCCTTGGGGATAATGTGCTGACTTTCAGCTTTAATTTGAGATTGAGTGATAGCTGTAGCCCTATCATGGTCTCACGTATGATTCCTACAGTGTTCATTCAATATTGATGGGAGAGAAGCTAAAATATCCTCCTATCAAATGTAATGCACTGGATACACAGCCAAAACTACAAAAAACTGTGTCACTGTCCAAAGTCTTACAAGTATCTCATAGTTAATGTCAGCCAAAACAAGACCTTGAACATTAGATTTAATACAACGTTGACGTAGTTTCTGACAAGGAGTGGAGATGAAAATTGTGCAATATGTCACTAAAAAGTTAGAATAAGATTTGTCACTAGGATAATGAAGATATGGCAGGGCTATAAATCAGAGGTATCGTTTATCACCTCTCCCCTGAATGATGTGTGATGAAACAGTGATATTGACTCATAGTGATATACAGTAAAGGTGTCTAAGTTAGTTATTAAAAGCATGCATTAGCTCAGGTTTCAAACAAACTACAATCAGAATAACTAACTCCTAACTAACATTGCATTCAAGCATTCATTTGATTATTGAATATTTTGCTTGTGCAAGTGAGGTTTTCTCACGTCTTTAGTCCTGCAAAAATGTAGCCTTTCATCTTTGAGAGCAACTTTAAAAGAGTTTACCACAAGACCTGATGCTCTTCCTCTACAGGCTTAGTCTCACTGCTGGTGTTAGCAACCAACTGCATATTCCTGTTGTGCCTGTTTTTAAGACTTTTAAGACAAATGACATTGCAGGTAGTTTGAAATATTTTAGACAAAGGACATTAGAGAGGAAGGGGACAGGGGCAGTACAGATCTTATCTAAAGCCAATATTTACAGATGGGGGTTACCATGGTAATTGGTTTGTGGTTAACTTCCCATTTTCCTCTAAAGTTCCAGTAGTGGTAAAACAGGACATGACTAAATAAGCCAAAGTGAACTAACCAGTTATGATTAGTGCTTTTCTGTGACACAGCGTACACAAAAGCTGGCCTCTGCTTCGTTATAGTGAGAAGGATCAGAGTTTCCAGGGCTATATTTTAAAGACAAAGACAGTCGACTAAGTTTTGTTAATTTTTAGACCCGTTATTACCTCCATTCTTGAAAATGTAGTCGTTACGTGTCTTTGTATTGACAGTGTGTGAATCCTCGAGGTTAAAAATTCACTACATTTGACCCAGTTAAAGAATGCCTTTACCACAGTGACTTATAAAATCCTAATGCGTAATGTGCTGTAACAAGGCTTAGATTTAAGAAGCACTATGGTTCACATCTTAATACCTTTAGTAAACAAAAAAAAAACAACCCCCAGTATACACATCTTGGTCCCTGCAAATGCCAATGAGTGTGCCTTAGGGGGTTTAGTAGGCGTGAAGCACCTGTGTTTGCTAGACTTGGATGTGTGAATGTGAATGAGGAAACCAGTATTTCAAATCGTAGAATTTAATGATATCAGTTTTATTATGGATTGTTCTAAAAGTCACTTTGCGAGCAATAGGTCAGCTTGATTAAAAAAAAAAAAAAACTCTGTTGAAATAAACAAATTAGTTACATAATGTAGAGTTTATGTAGCTCCTCTGTTGCAACAGAATGAGCTCCAACATTTTTATTGTGGTTCAAATTAAATGCCCAACATGAAGCCAATTCTCTGTATAACAATAAAAAATATCCCCACCACAATTTAGCCATGAAGTAACTTGGCTCAATAGATTTTTATGGCACTTAATCATAATAATTATACAGTGCTCAGGAGAATGGCACACTATCTGTACCTTTGCACCATGAATGTAATTATCAAGTGAGATTCTTCTATTTAGGCAGACTTTGCCCCTTGGACCTACCCAGCCATCCCTGTCATAATGTTTTATGCTTAGTGTTGTTACGTTTGAATATGTTCAAAAATAGCACCTGGTACACAAACAAATACAGTGTCTGGGACAATTCTGTGACAGTAGAGAAATGTGTTATTACAAAATTAATTATTACCTTTTATGTGTCATGGAATATATATTGTTTATGTGTTAGTTGTTAGGCACAAGCCCTGTTCTACATCACACATGTGTTAACATACACAAGATCAATCATAGAGCCAGCGATGGAAACTTTATCTCTAGATTAAGCAACTTTTTAGACTTAGACTTATTATTTTAAAAAGCCATTGGCTGCAGATTTGTAGTTTGTGAAAAGTTCGTTTGACCATCTCTTTCACTCTTTCTCTCCGGATCTCTGGATTAGGTTGTTTCTAAAGCTTATATGTAAATAGTTAGTTTGAGCTTGTAAATATTTAAATAGTTTGTTTGAGCTTCTTCTTCCCTTTGTAGATTTATGATTTTTTTACTTCAATTATACAATTCCTATTATTTGGGCAAATAATAATAATAATACATGATAACTGACTAATCATGTATCATTCATCACAGTGGGATGCATGAGAGTTATAGTGCAGAGCTCAAAACCAACTTTTTCACCACCTTCCCAAAACTCAAAGGGGAGCGCTAACATTGTTTCACAGCAGCCACACTGACGAAGCTACGTGCAGATGTGTCCCACATTTTTTGCTTATTGATTACCGATTAATCGGTCTATCACTATGTTAAACGGTCCAAAATATTGGCTGTTTTGAAAACTAAATAATGATAATGTCAAAGTGTGTGTATGTACATGTTCATCACCATATACTAGTCAGAAACCGCCTTCCATTTGCACTGCAGTTTGCAGTAATGCATTTATTGATCAAACAATTAGTGGCTCAACCAATGACCAAAAGAATAACAACTAATTGAGACAAAAATCCCAGAGTGATATCAATGTTTTATTCAGATGTAAGTACAGGGAACAACTAGCAGAATTTCCATGTCGGACCAGAGTGAGTCAATAAAGTGATGCAAGTTACTGTAACAGTTATTAAACTATACTTATTTTGTCGAATGAAAAAAATTAACTTCAAGTTGGGACAATGGTTGTTAAGCGTGGAACAGTTGAAAGTGGAATAAATTTCAAGCCCTGTGTTTTAATAATAGTTTTTCTTGTTCCATCAGTGCGGCAGGTGTGTTACTGCAGGTGAAGATGAATGTCAAACGCCACCTCAGAGAAAAGAACACTATTCCCAAGATCTTTGCTGAAACAGTGCGCCGACACGGGGACAAAACAGCACTGATCTTCGAGGGGACTGGGGAGAGGTGGACCTTCCGACAGCTGGATGAGTACTCCAACAGAGTGGCTAACCTCCTGCTGGAACGGGGTTTCAAGGTAGGAATACAATACAAAATATTTCAGAATTAGGAAAAAACTCTCTACTCTCTTAGATACTGTTTCCATCCAGGAGGAGGCATGCTATGACCCCTTTACAGAAAGTTGTTAAATAAAAATAAATAAAGTCAATCAGTTAATGGCAGTAGGTGTGACAGCCCCTTCCTTTTGTTGTTTCTCTCTTCAGGACGGGGATGTGGTGGCCCTTTTCATGGAGAACAGGTCCCAGTATGTGGGCCTCTGGCTGGGCATGGCTAAGATCGGAGTAGAGGCTGCTCTAATCAACTTCAATTTGAGACTAGAGGCCTTGGTCCACTGTGTCAACATCTCCAATGCCAAGGCTGTGGTGTTTGGCTCGGAGCTGAATGACGGTAAGAGCAGGGAGGATGGAAGAGGGCAGTGGCTAGAGATTAGAAAAACATCTGAACGATATGTGGCAGATTTTGTTTGTTATAGTAGTGAGAGAGTCATGTTTATGATCAGAAATCAGAACATTGTCTCAGTGGGCTTTGCAGTCTGTACAGCGTTGACTTGTGCTGATGAGTGTTGTTATGCTTCTGCTGTGCGGAGAGAAAGTAACAGAGGTCTTAAAAATTTGATGGGTTTTGAAGGAGGTGTCTCTTCAATATCAGTGGAGCTTTAAATGGCTGATGGACGGAAAGAAGGGAAGAAGTGATGATGAGGAAAGTGGAGAAATGTTTCTGTGATCAATCTGCAGGTCTAAATTGGTCAGCATATATTAAATATCTCTATAACCAATTTAAGGTAAAGACCAGTATTACATGGGATAAACAAATTAGTTGCCAAGCAGATGTTCAATGTGCATTCATTTGTGATTTTTCTTGACAGTAAGATTGAAGATTTAAATCAACTTTTGAAGGTCCAAATAGAACTAATTACCTGTTATAATGTCTAATCTATTGACCCCCAGTGCATTATTGAACATACCTTATATTGCTTAGACTTGGGAGGCACCAATAATATAAAAGTGCAGCAGGTCAGTAGAATGGTGAAACATAAATTAGGGATCTATTTCAATCTTCTCACTGCCCTCCTCTGGGTCCCTGCCCAATCTGAAAAGCCCTGATCTCAACAGCTATAAAGAGTGAATGAGTTCTGAGCTGTTCATCCTGGGATTGATGGAACAGTCTTTGTATTGGATCCTGGACTTGTCATGTGCTTTATGCCTTTAAGTAATTGGAAACGCAGCCTCGTTGCTACTGAGCAGGCCAAAGTCGAGCCAGTAGCCATTAGTACTGAGCCAGCATGACATAAGGCTTTTAAATTAAGAGGACGTCTTTTTAGGGGAGAAATATAAAAGCTGTTTCAATTTGTTGTTTCCTCCCTTCTGTCTGCTTCACACACAGTCACATATTCATACTTTGTAACAGTTTTGTCACACTGCACTTCCTCTCTTCCAAGATATTGCACTTTTCTCTCTCACTCCCCCACTCTTCCACCTGATACCCAAAGTTATTTAAACCTACTCTGTCCCCTATTACCCTGCCCCGTACCACCTTTCTTCCCTGTTTGCTATTGTACCATCTTTTCTTTTTGTCTTTGTCTATAATGGTTCCAGTTTTGTGGTGCTTAGCTATCTTACCGTATAAAGTCTTCTTACAATTTAGTATAGTGGACTAAATGTCAGTAATCTACTGTGTTTCTCTTAATCTTAAGCGATGTGTGAGGTCCACAATTCAATGGGGAAGGCAGTGCAGATGTTTTGCTGTGGAGACTGGGATGCCAAACGAGTCCCGCAGGGAACCGAATGCCTAGAGCCCCTGCTGGATGCTGCCCCATCTCATCTGCCAAGCCGGCCACAACGCTGCTTCACAGGTGAGAATGCCATGCCCCATCATACCTCTTATAACCTATCCAGATTCCCAGACTTTCCCAATAATTATAACATTTCCAAGCATTTCAAAAAATCCATTATCAGATGCTTTTTTAAAATAAATTTCAAGTGATATTTTCTGTGGTGTAATAATAATCAGCAACCAAAATGTTAGCACTTACTTTAACAAAAGTACCACAGTAGTTTTAAAAAGTCATTTGTTTGCATTTACTGATAGTCTGGCAGCACAAACCAGTTGACAGGGGGTGAGTAATACTTTTGGAGCCAAGCAATGACTCAAAGTCAAATAAATCACATCGCTCAATCATGTTAAAAAATGAAACGCTTGCACTGAACTAAAATGTCAAGAGCAATATCTTTGCACCAGGGTTTCTTTTTGTTTTGTCAAGTTTTCATACAGTAGGTATATCTTTGTCCAGATTCAGTGTTGATTATTTTAAATATTATTGTTTTAATGCTATTTAATATATTTTTGACTGTTGCATACAGAGCCAGACAGCTAGAAACTTTATTATATTGAAAGAAAGAGTATAAATGTTGAATTATTTATTTAGCCCAAATTTGCCATTATAGCTTTATAATCTATACAGTTTAGGGCACCTTCTATCAGAGCCTCAAGTTTGATTAGGATAGAAACGTTAATTGTTTTTGTTTTTTTATTGTCTTTATTTAGCATAACAGCATGTAATCACTCACAGCCAGGCAAGCTGTTGAAGCAGTAAAACCTGTGACCTTTGATCATGTCCACACCTGGAAAAATTTGTCTCTGGTTATCTGGACAGATGGCAACCAAAATGCATAAGGATCAGATCAGTCAAAACAAATTCAGAGGAGACGTGTATGTACACATACACTGCACTGAGGTTGCTGCGACTCATAGCATGCACACAGCTGATTTGCTTATGCCAATTGAAGTAGCACATAGCCACCACCATCCAGTTCTCTAGCTCTATATCAGAGCTTGAAAGTGTATTTCTTCTGTTTAGCAGTATTTGGAGTTTATTACAGATAAAAGTTGTGGGCAGAAGAGCCAAATCCAAACACAAGTGGTTGATACCAGGGAGCCCTCAACTGGATCTACAGCCAATTTGTATACATGTGGATACCACTTTGCTTTCACATCACAATGTATCCCTGAGGGGGAAAAAAAGCGACTTAATGGTCTAATTTTCACAATCTTTAATTCTGCTTAATTTTGCCTCCCTCCGTCTGTGCTGAAACTCCAAATTAGCTTGCAATCAAAACTGTGAACAAGCCGGTAATTAAGGATAAAAGCCGAGCACTTACACTCCTGCGCGACGATTCAGAAGTGAGCATTCAGCACAATGTTTGTTTCAGAAAGACTGAATTGAAACTGCAAGCTTAAACATAACAGCCTTTATTTTTATGCTCTCAAACACATACCACAAACGAGTCTTAGCACATTTAGCTGTTGATGGGTATTTTATCTCACTCTCACTCCGCTGTCTCTTTCAGATCGCCTGTTCTACATCTACACGTCAGGAACCACTGGGATGCCTAAAGCTGCTATTGTTGTGCACAGCAGGTAGGAAGGAGCCATGCAGCTAACTAACAGACACACAGGAATTGCAGCTGCTCGCTTTGTTGCTCTGTAGCTTTCATTTGTAGCATAAATACTTTTAGAAGAGGGTGGAAGAGAAATACATAAAACTTATTGGACTTCTTTCACTTTCTTCTCCTGCCTTGTCTCACACCACCTTTTGTTTCTGTTTTTGTTTTTCCAGGTACTACCGCATGGCAGCCTTGGTATATTATGGCTTTAGGATGACATCAGATGACGTGTTGTATGATTGCCTTCCACTCTACCACTCTGCAGGTAAAACTACCTTTGTGTGATTACAATTGAGATTTAAAGTTACAATATGCAACTTTTCCTCTTGTCAGGAAGTTCAAATTCAGTCCCTTCAGTCAGTCTGTTCCTCATAATGTTTATCTTGATTGAACTTTATAACATGAAACAGCATCCAGACTAAGTTAATGGATAAAACCAGTCACCAGCAAAAAAGTGGTGCTGATGTTTACCAGTTTTTATTACAGTGGGTCTTTTATGGCACACATTTACTTTCAGTGACTTCTCCTGCTAACATAAAATGGTGTACAAACAACATCTTTGAAAAGCCAAGTTCAGATAAATAAAGGGCACGTGCATATAAGGTCACAGACAAACAATACCATTTATAACATGTGCTATTTTAATGAAGGAAAAAGTTGTTGCTTAGCATTATATGTCTTTGTATATTGCCATGTTGAGACTAGCATTCTGTGACCCTGACAACTCGTATTACTTTTTCTACAGGTAACATTGTGGGAGTGGGCCAGTGTATAATACACGGCATGACTGTAGTCATCAGAAAGAAGTTCTCTGCCTCACGTTTCTGGGACGACTGTGTCAAATACAACTGCACTGTAAGCATAATACAGATAGGCACAAATTTAGTGGGCAGAGTAGCACACCACAATCTCACAGCAATGCTGAAAGGATATCTCTCCTGTTGCTTTCTGTTAAAAGTCATCTCAGGATTTAATGTTATTCCCCAGTTAATCTTTTTGAATCCATTTTTCATTATTGTAAGCTTGATTTTAGTAATTGGTCTGTTCTTGTCTCTGCTCTGTCTCACTTTTTTCTCACCACCGTCCTGCTCCATTTTCCTCCAGATTGTGCAGTACATTGGGGAGATCTGTCGATACCTGTTGAACCAGCCGGTTCGGGACATGGAGCAACAACATCGGGTGCGTATGGCACTGGGCAACGGCCTGCGCCAGTCCATATGGGAGGAGTTCATGAACCGCTTCAATATACCACAGATTGCGGAGTTCTACGGAGCCACGGAGTGCAACTGCAGCCTGGGAAACTTCGGCAACAAGGTGAGAATGTCGGCTCAAGTGTTTGAAATGGCGTCATTGTAGTGAAATACCCTCTTCTGAAATCCTTAAAAATATGACCTCCCACTCAAGTGAGAGATTTTCACATTATGTTCAAATGTTCAAAGGCTTTTTCTTTTCTGTGCTGCTCTAGAAATCCTCTTCATGTTAAGCACTCAGTTAATTTTACCAATAACTGTTTTCTCAGTTTTGGTAGCTTCTCATCAGTACAACACAACAGATAGCACAGCAGGTTTTTTAGCTGATTGGAACTGGTCTGCCTTTCATTTTCCTCACCACACTGAAAGCTCTGTGGTTGTTGATCATTTTTGTCTGTGCTCTAGGTGGGAGCGTGTGGCTTCAACAGTCAGATCCTACCCTTCATCTACCCCATCAGACTGGTGAGGGTTGACGAAGAGACCATGGAGCTCATTAGGGGACCTGATGGCGTCTGTATTCCCTGTAAACCTGGTAGGTTGGATGTGTACACATATTAAGCATAACACTTCACACTTCGTAAGCTTAAATGTATATACAGAGTGGTAGCACCTCAGGAGTATTACACAACCGCTCCTATATTCCCATCCACATCATATGTTTGATTATTTATGAAATAAAGATAGACATATACTTTTGGCAGCTTGTGGTGATTCTAGCTCTTGTATACATTTGTCTGGTACTAATAGATTAGCAGGCTAGCTAAGACTGGCACATAATGTGCTTGTCCTTATAAATAAAGAATATTAAATGATATTACATAGCCCTATATGTTAAGAAGACAGAAGACTCATCATCCATTGTACATACATCTTGTGTATTTTCATCAGAAAGCAGTAGTCTAGGCATACTGCAGTATTTTTCTGGAAACTTATACATCTCACTACATTACTAACTTAGGAAGTGGGTTGAATACTCAGCTTATATGTTAATAGATTCACAATAAGGCTTCATCAAACCCCCTCAAAATTTTTGCATAGCCTAGTGTTTATAATGTAAGAGTTGTACAGCAGACATACAGACATGCACAGACACACTTAGTCCTTTCTGAAACTCCTGCTGGAGCTCAAACAGTCCGGGTTGTGTGTGGAAATGGTAATTTGATTTCACATAAATGCCAGTTGTACATTCATAAATTCATCTGTGCTTTCAATCTCTCTCTCTGTCTCTCCAGGCGAGCCTGGCCAGCTTGTCGGCAGGATCATACAGAATGACCCTCTTCGGAGGTTTGATGGTTATGTCAACCAGTCAGCAACCAGCAAGAAGATTGCTAGTAGTGTCTTCAAGAAGGGAGACAGTGCCTATCTCTCTGGTTAGAGTCACTCACACACTCACACACACATACATATTGAGTTTTTTGTGTATCCCATGCTGACTTTCTAAATTAATATGACCACTCTCCAGGTGATGTGTTGATCATGGATGAGTACGGACACATGTACTTCAAGGACCGCACAGGAGACACTTTCCGCTGGAAAGGAGAGAACGTCTCAACGACCGAGGTGGAGGGAACTCTCAGCAGGCTGCTAGACATGAAAGATGTTGTTGTCTATGGAGTGGAAGTACCAGGTAAAATCTTTCGATATACATGCTTTAGTACTTGTTCTTATAAGGGACTAAAGGGTCACCATAGTGTGTTTAATACTATAGTCATTACAGCTCCAGTGTCTGTGCTTACTCATGACCTATTGTGACATGAAATGAATTATGCCAATTTGAAATGTCATCACATATAAGACTGAGCTGTAGTTGAGGTTCTGCAGACTGAGCGACAAGATGCCACTTTCCAGTCACTGTGATTAGATCGGATAACTTTATTAACCCCCAAAGGGGAAAACTAATGTGGCACGCACAGTGACAAATGACATAAGACACACAAGTCGGACAGATCACAATAGACAACATATGAATGAGATTTTCTACCACAATGTTATTACTGCCACAACGGTAATAACACACAAACTAACAGTATATATTGATATGCAGTAGCAGTATATGAAGGGTAGTTGTACAAGTGAGATACTTTGTAAAGACACCAGGATGGTTCTGCACAGCATTCATGGTCTTGATGCACAAACCATGCTTATTATAGTTAAATAAAACTTAATTAAAAACTAAACCTTAGTTTCAAAAAACATTTTAGTTAACTGAGATAAAAAAAATAAAAACTGGAATTCAGAAAAAAACATCAGTGTAGTTTTAGTCTTTTTCAATTTTGTCACAAGCATGAGCATTGGTGCATATGTTTATTGAGACTTTGATGTTTACATGACTGTGAGTCAATGTGTTTGTATTGTAATACCTATTCTGAACTCCTTAAATTTTGCCCCTTACAAATACCCTCCATATTATAATATAAAACGAAAACTATTATAAACTACACTAAATCTAACCCTTTTTAAACAATAAAAAATCAACTGAAATGAGCAAACCCCCTCTGGAAACTAAACAACAAAACAAAAGTGAATGAAAACAAAAACGAATGAAAAATACAAAACTGTAATAACCCAAGCATCTGTCTGACATTAAACCTCCGCTGAATGAATCCTCTGACATGCTCTATTCTCTGTGCTCAGGAGCAGAGGGAAAGGCTGGAATGGCAGCCATCGCTGATCCGTCTCACTCCACTGACCTGGAGAAATTTGTGAAGGACATGGAGAAGGCGCTCCCTCCGTACGCCAGACCGGTGTTCCTCCGCTTTCTTCCGGAGGTCAACAAGACAGGTAAATTGTTTTGAAGGAGCTCCTAATTAGACCTTAAACATTTTTTAAAGCTGTAAAACAGTGAAGTACAGTCATTCTAAATGGTAGCTTAATTGGCAAAATGAAACACCTACCTCTCTGTGTCTCCTCCTCAGGAACGTTTAAATTTCAGAAGACAGACATGCGTCGGGACGGCTTTGACCCCAGCGCAGTGCCAGACAGACTGTACTTCCTGGATTCCAGCAGAGGGCGCTATATGCAGCTGGACGAGGAGGTCTACCGCTCCATACTGTCAGGGAAACACAAATTGTGATGACCAGGCTGACCACTACATGTACACATAGACACACACACATACAGATACAGAAAAGAAGACAAAATTATGTGACCAGGATAGCAGAATGCAGGAACTTGTCCCCATATACAGAAGTACATATAAACTAATAGCCATACACACTCCATGCACCCAGACTCAAATGCCAACACATTTACACATACATCCATGTACACATTATATTGCTCTTTAAAATCCCTAAAAAACGGACTTATGCACGCCCACCCCACCACTCCACCCCCTCCTACACACACACACACACACACACACACACACACACACACACACACACACACACATACATACAAATATACATACACACAGAACCACTCCATCTATCCCTCCTGCAATCTCCCCAGCAACTCCTCTCGCTACCTCAGCAAACACAGAGAGAGGCTCAAACCTAGTAACCAGGTCTATTTGGTAACTTGAAATAGAATTGAATTCATGAATTCATAGCCAAACAATCCCATCCCACGCAGGTCTCAAACAAACCATGCCTGTGTCCATTCTGGTCCATCAAACCAGATGTGTTGCCGGGGGACACAACTGGGAGGGATGCCGAGTACAGGCTGCCTGGCATCCAGAATGCAAAAACTTGAAAACTACAGATAACCACAGACTTAACGGATGTTGAGGAGGAGCATGGATTGAGTACAAAAAAAGTATGTGGGACAACGGAGGGACCCATGAGGACCTAAACTGTCTCTCGGTTTGTCGTTTCATCAGCGGGATTGTTTTGTGAGAGACTGGAGCCTCTACCGTCGACTTCACCTGCACAATTAGCCAGAAGTGACAAACCTGTGTGACAGCTCCAGCTTTCCTCTATCTGAAGTTAACTTAATGAACGTATTTCCTAAATAAATAATACATTTATTTTTGAAAAAAGGAGAACAGTGTGAGGGATTTTGGAAAGCCTATGACATGTAACCCACGATTACAGAAGTTAAATTAGACCAGTGGTTGAAGCTGAAAGATTTACTGAAGTGCAATAGGGCTCCAGCGTTTGCAGTGCAATAATCAGCCGCACCACATGAGCGCTGATATAAAACAAAGCTTTGTATTTAAATATGTCTGTGTCACACCAAATATATTTAAGTTGTAGTGTTTGTTTACATTTTTAAGAAAATATGGACGTTTAGTAATTTATTCTGTTTTGAAAGCTTTTTCTTTTTATAGTTCAAATGTATCAGATTGATTTTGCTTTATCTTTTATCCAAATCTTCAGTAATGCTCTTAGAATCCTCAAAAATGAAGCTGCATTATGCATTTTATATCAGCTGCTGGAACACAAAGTCAAGTGATCTGACTGATTCAACCCTGAGCTAAATACATGGGGCTATTTCCACAAACGGGACACGTTCTGATATCTGAGCTGGCATGCAGTATGTTTCTGTGGCTGTATTGTGCAGGTTTTGTCCTAAAAGGTAGACTTTGCCTATAGTAGGGTGTGTGTATATTCTTCTAAAACATATGAAGAGGACTTTACTGAAGAGAGAGAAGCACCAAATCGCCCTATCAGCGAGGACTTGTGTTTTCAACAAAATTCTGGTGCTAAAGCGGGATGTTTAGCCAGATTCAAGGGAGCCGAAAGATCCAAAGATTCACGGGGGGGAGTAGGGACGCTGTTTTACGAAGAGGGTGCATCGAAACTGAACAGTAGAAGAAGAGAAAATGTGCTTTGTCATCGATGTTTTGTCTGTTGTTTGCAGTAGCTGTCATCAGAGGTTGTAGCAGCATGAATGAGCATCATCAACCACAAGCAGAGCACTGTGCCTTACTGTGAGTTCACCTCCCAGATTCACAGGCCCTGGCCCACACATAGTATTTCACATGGTTCCCTTTGTTGGACTCTCTTAATTCAGCCTACATCTACCATAATCTCAATTCTCTGTCTCCAAGTACCCTGTCGTAGTAGCCTGGCAAAGCTGGCCTAAATCTTGGGGGCTCATATTTTATTCTGAAAATCACCTTCCAGAAGAAACCATGGTAGCCCAGCGACTGGCACCTTCATCCTGCCAGGTGCAGGAGGAGTTTGTGTTCATGTCTCGATGGGCAAGGGTAAAATATTTTGCAAGGCTGCTGTCAATGCATTTTGCAGGACTCTGTCTTCATTACTTCCTGTCCTTTTGAGTCTCTTTGGTCTTTACTTAGTCCTAACTGTAACCTTAATTTGTCTTCTAGCTGTCCTATTCATATTGTTTGTTTTTTGGGTTGTCTTATAGATATTCTTCTCCCTACAGTTTCCATTTGTTCAGCACCTTTACACCAAGCCTTTATCATCTCTCTGCCAAGCACCCCAATCCTTTCCATTAATCCGTGTCTAACCTCTTCCCTCTTCCTTCTCTCTCTCTGTGTCCAGCCGGCACCTCTGTTTGATCCTCGCTGTCTCCCTCAGGTACCGAGCCTCCTTCTCTGCCATATCTGCGTCATCTTGCTGTGCTCACGTTGATTCAGACAATGGTACAAGCAGTAGTTGAATACATTTCAAATATTTCCTGATTGGAGTTTGTTAAGTGTTTGAGGGATTTTTTTTTTTTTGGTCCACTTTTCTGGTGACATAAAGCTACAACCACACACTCAAAACTGTTTTCAGATATCTTTTGCCCATGTGTGTTGTGTGTAGTCTGCCACTACCCTGTGACTTTTTGTCTTACCTTTGCAACTGACCACATCATGAGTCACCTACAGTACAGCCAGGCTGGCCGTCACTAACTGCGGTTGTGTAACAGGTCACGTGAAGATTGGCTGTAGTGTAGATGACTTATTATTCCTCATGCGTTATAGGCTGCTTTGTTTCCTGCAGACTGATTCTCAACACGTTTAAACAGCTTTCCTTAGTTCGTACTTTGCACTTACAGACTGAATGACACAGTTGATCTTGACGGCTACAGTCTGCTGACAGTGATCGTCAAAGTCATTCCCCTGTTTGGGTGGGAAAAAAACCCATCAAAGGCGTTTGACAGATTTTGAGATTCATTCCTGCTTCCTCTGTGGTCTTAGTTCAAAGAGTCTCTTACTCACTTGTATGTATTCTTTAATGATGAGTGTGAAATGTTCTCATGAATGTCTGAAATGAGTGACCGATGATGATGATGATGATGATGATGATATCGTGAAGTAAAGTGTGATTTACGTATCTTAGGGAACACAGTTTGGCTGTTATGATGCTTGTGACTGAGGGTTATACCTGTCAACTCTGACTGAACAGCCCCACAGCAGATCACTCTGAATAAGATGTTTCAATTGTCACTTTTTTTTTTTTTTAATGACTTTAAATTATTATTTTTGAAGGAACTGTTAATTATACTTTGATTGTTTCACTGCTAAATGTGTTTGCTTTTGTTTTCTTTGCGTGATATCAGAGCTTTGGGATTTTGGTATATAAAATGGGATTCATGCATGAGTGTAAGACAATCGAATGGCAGTTGTTTTTTTCTACCTTTTTTTTTTTTTTAAAAAAAAAGGGCACTAGGAATCAACCAGGGAGCAACCTTTTCTGGATTACGGTGGTTGTACACGTTGACCAGAAGCCAATTTGCAATTTCCCAGCTAATAAATATTGTTTTGAAAAGCAGATGGCTAACCAGATATGTCAGGTGTAAAGCCTAAAACAGCTGATGGCCTGCAGGGAGCCACATGTCTGTGGGACAGGGTGTGTTGAGCTTTTGAGGCACATATTTGACCAGAGGGGGGTGCTGTGTCCCACATCAAGTTTCCATGCCATGTCATTTTATCAGGCAGTCTTTGGATAACTAATGAAATAATCTAATGACAACTACCATAGATAGAAATATATTGGTGAAAATGAAACAGTAGATCCGGTTTCATCTGGCAAATTTCCATTCCTCAAATCCTCGGCATATTAGTTGATTGATTAAATTTAACTTTTTTTCACTAAACTGTCACCAGTCTTCCCAGTTCATGCTGAGATCACTCAATAATCAGTCTCTGATTGTAAAGCACTGAAAAAAAAAGGATTTCTGTGTCTCTGCTCTTGCTGTCCCTCATGCCTCTGATCAACATTTCTCACTCTGCTTTTTGCACTTTTTGTTTTTTGTGTTTTTCCCCACCGTGGTCCTCAGGAACATCAAGCAGTACTACAGAAGGAAACAAGTTTTTTCACGTCGGCTAATGTGTGTTTTTTTTATTTTATTTTTTTCCCCCTCGTCTTATTGCACAGGCGGCAGCTCTTGTGCAGAGTGTGTAGGGGAGGTCTGTGAGGTGTGCTGTGTGTGTGTGACACACACACTGATGTCCTCTTGTTCACTGAAGGTTAGCTGTATACATCATGCATTTCCAGAAAAATTAGATAAAAGCAGAGCTGCAAATGGAAAATCATTATTAATAAAAAAACTATTTAAATTCACTTGCGCTCAGATTGTTGTTCCACTTTCTTTCTTTTCAGTTGTAATAGTTTGATTGATGCCTGACTGCTGTGTTTAGCTTACCCAGATAGAGTTTGACACAAAAACCTAAAACATGTTAGAGATATTGCAACACTATCAGTACGGCCATTTACATTTACCCTAAAAGCTTCATTGGGTCAAGCAGTTTATTTTGGGTCACACTCAGATTTCCTTTTAGATGACTTCCAGGTAAAATTTAAAATGCTGTATTTGTGTTTTTGTTTTGCTTTTTTTTACAATAAGGTATCGAGCCATATCAATTTAATTTCATACAGTCTAATGACTGGCATTAGACAAAAATCCCTCTTTTAGGCAGTCTAACAACCAAACTAATTTATATACAGTAGGATGTTAATTTCAACAAGTATACATGTATTTAATTTACTACTTTGTCACTTCGTGTCTACTTTGTTACTATGAGGTCTGTAAAAAAAAAAAAAAAAAAAACTTTTCCAATATAATTTTTTTTAACAAGATGATCAACTCTTTACAAAACTCTTTGGATATAAAGAAAACAGAAATTGGATTAGACCCACGACACCTCTAAGGGACTCAACAGTGGGTTCTTGTCCTGAAAACACACCTCACTCCAAACCAACTCAAACATCAACATTGTATATTCTGTATATTCATTTACTCAATGTTGGCCACAGCTTGCAACATCAATCACAGCCCCAGTCCCTAATTTCTAGCCATGTCAAGCTACTCAGCAGACCTCAGAAATAAAATGATTCCTTACTTTTTATTGTTTAGCTTTACCTTAAACTTGTTAGTAAATGCCCCTTTGAGTCATTTACGTATCTTTACTCTTTTTGTGCTTTTTGGGGACAACAAAGTGGACCTATCAAGACAAAAATACTGAAACTGAGGAAAGTAAAACTAAGACTTGAAAAGGAGTTTCGAAATGATCTTGTGAGACACCTAGTATTTTCTCTTGTAGTGACATGAGTAATAATTATGGCTCACATTTCATACTGCAGTTGTGCAAACTTGTCAATATGCAAACTTGAATTCAAGCCGAGTTAAGACAGTATTTTTCCTAGCAATAGTGGAAAGGTACTGTAAGTACAAATTTGAACTACTGCTAATGCTTGAGTAGTTTAATTTTCTGCCACTGTCTACTTGTACTCCCCTACATTTATTCACATAACACTAGATAATGTACAAACTACAAAACACGCGTTCATCAAAATATGATGCATTGTTACTAATCCAACTACCGAGCAGTCTATAGAACAGTTGACCAAATATAACATTAAAGTACAACTTATTAATGCATCCATAGTAATCCAGTAATACTACAAAGTAACACTGAATGGAGCAATTGTGCATAATTAATACTTTTACTTTTGATACTGAAAGTACAGTTTGTTACACTTCTGTAGTTTTGAGTAAAATTCTGAATGCAGAACTTTTAATTGTTATTGAATATTTCTACTTAAGTAAATGATTTGAAGACTTCCTCAAACACTACATAGTTGTCTCTTAGATGCAGAACTTACTGATCGCTCTAAGTTTACTCTTCTTGATGTACAGTATCTTTCAATGTGGGACAAAGTCTTGTGAAACCAGTGTGTCATATGCTTGTGAGGGCAGCACATGAGATCCAGCTGATGCTAGGTGACCACAAGCATGATATATTCCTGTACCCATGGGAAGTGAAGTCTAAGTCAAGGTTGTTTTGGAACCACACGTCTTCAACACTTGGCCACTGTTCTCTGATCCCTGGCGATGATTGGCTGACAACCAGGTGGGTGGATCAGGAGAAAAACAAACATTATCACAGGCTTTGCCACTCTGTACCTGTATCTGTTGACTGCCTACAGTTCACTTTAGGCTCAGATCAGATACCCTTTCTCAACCTGTCAGTCCATCCACCTGGCCGCTTCCTTTTCTCCACGCAGCCATGAGGACCACTGTGAACGCTGTTGTCATGGTGATGTTGTGTGCCGTGATGGTGCAAGCAGACGTGAAGCCCCAGAGAGATTTCAATCTGCAGAAGGTAAGATATACACACAATTTTTTGACCTCAATGTATTTGAATCAGTTTGATTTAAGTTAAGGTGGTTCTGCTCATTATCTATCGAGTGACTCCATTGGTGAAGGAACGTTGTGTTCTGTGTGTGTGTGTGTGTGTGTGTGTGTGTGTGTGTGTGTGTGTGTGTGTGTGTGTGTGTGTGTGTGTGTGTGTGGGTGTATGTGGGTGTATGTGAATGTCTACATAAGAGTGAGGGTGTGTTTTTTAAAGCAGAGTGAGGACATGTCCATATATAAGTACATGGGTGTGTGACTATGGGTAAGATCCTGTTTGTGTGTGTGTGTGTGTGTGTGTGTGTGTGTGTGTGTGTGTGTGTGTGTGTGTGTGTGTGTGTGTGTGTGTGTGTGTGTGTGTGTGTGTGTGCGTGTAGTCAAAGTTTGAGCTCAGTTGATGACCCAAAACAAACAATTAAGGGGTTAAGTCTGGCCTTAGAACAAATTGTTATGATTAATACATTTGCGAATCCTTATTTTCCTGGTTTCCTCACACACCAGAGGTTGAGAGAGGTCAGTTTGACATTTCCCATGTTCGTGAGAAATGTCTTTAAAAAGGAAGGCCTCCATTTGCTTCCTGTGGCTGATTTGATAGCCAACTGTATTTATCCCAGAAGCATTTTAAAGATGGGATTCTTCCAAATTTATCAAAAGGTCAGTTACTCACCCAACTGTTGTGGGTTAATGTAAAATAAAAAATGTTTTCCCCCAATGTCTATTCTATATCTATGAACCCTAAAACAGTGTAAAGAAAATGGAGCAGAAGGTAAAAATGGTTTATCATTACATAAAGCAGTGTGTGGACACGTAAGGATGTTCCATCAAGATTCAACATTCAAACTCCCTCCAACCCGTTTTAAAGTATCTATGTGCACATATGAGGAAATGCTGTGGCTAGCAGCAGTGTTTGCAACATGGTACAAATACAGCTCACTTGTTTTCCCACTGAGGCCCTTTATGCTAAAAATGTAGACACTAAAAATACATGTATGCATAAAAAACAGCCACAAAATGGCACATGTTCCATAAATGCCTATCCATGGTGATAAATGGTGGCTTAGTGTGGTGATTTGTTTAACACCAATGAATTGATCCTACTGTGTAAGTGTTGGCTGCAAAGCCTTATTTTTTATGTCATAGACCTCCATTTTTGTACAAAGACCAATACAAATTCATGAGCTATGTTACTCCATTACTATAAAAATGGGCACAGTGTTTTATTTGGAGTCATACACCTTCCTGCTTCCTTAAATACTCACTAGTGCACCAAATCCACAGCTGAAAATAGTCCCCAACTTGAGTAAGTTTTGAGTAACTAAGCTAAAAACTAGTGTGTCCAGCTGTTTTAGGATTTTTGTCTTCACTGGGAATCATTGGGCATAGAGCCAAACACGGTAAGGAAGTCAGAAAGTATTGAGAAACTGACCTGCACATTATTGGTTTTGCTGTTTTCCTGGGATGTGCTGACAACATGATATAGTCAGCCTTGTCCTTTAAATTTAACAAACCACTGAGGTTTTTCACAGCATCAAACATTTCAACTTGTCAGAGCATGGAAAGCACAGGCATAACCTGTGCATAAATGATGGTCAGTAGTCAAATAAACACTGAGAAACTCAAGATTATTAGTATGTCAGCTTAATTTCCTGTGTTCCTGTCTATGTGTGTGTGTGTGTGTGTGTGTTTAGTTTGCAGGAAAGTGGTACCGGGTGGGCCTGGCCTATGACTCTCTGAGTTTTGTCCCTTATAGAGACAAAGTGAAGGCCTCCATGGGCATCATCACTGCACTGCCAAACGGCAATGCTAACCTCACAATGTGGGACGCCACGTGAGTACATGTTTGCATAAATGGGTGGCCCCCAAAACAGTTTGTTCTATTCACAGAAGGTGGGGAAACTGTTAGAAACAACTGAGGGATGTATGGAGGGAAGTTTAGAAAAGATACAGAAGATACAGACACACTATGTTTCCTCTTTGTGCTTCAGACCTTTCAGTTGTCAGAGTAAAGTATACCAGTATGAGAAGACCAACGTCCCTGGACAGTTCACATACTTCAGCACACGTAAGTCTTTGCTCACTTCTGAATGTTTGTGTCGACCACAGAGTGTGTGAGAGAGAGGTTGTGGATACACGTGATTGGAGGTTTTGTGGAACATGGGACCATAAAATGACTTCTGTGCCTGCCTGAACTACAGCGAGGCTCCATTCATGAGCGCCCCAACAATGTATGCATGATATAGAAATAAAAGTCTTGTCTTGTACACAAAAAAACAAGCAAGTATGTTCCTAAAATGTTTTTGTTTTGTTTATGTTATGCCCTTGGTGTTATTTGTATGCATTTAATAATGTATTTATTAATGTTTGTTTGGACTTATCTACATAAAAAAAATATTTTTTCTTATAATAAGAAATGTGTTATATATACAGATAATATTTATTATAATTGTTACAGTTTTATATTTTGTTGTTATTGATAGCTATTGATACAATTTATAAGTACTGTATTTGTGCTGGAAATTGTAGTATATTGCAAATACACACACGTCTTGATTTATTTACTATGTGCATTCATACTTTTTATTCTTTCATGTTTTATACTTCCTTTTTTTTCCTGTTGTCATTTTGCATATACTGTATTACATAATGTTGTTGACATTGTTTGACATATTTTTATTCAAAAACAACATACTTTGAATATGGCCTCCTCCGGCATACTACACCCAGTTTTATCTATCTCATATAGACCCTCTTTGTTTGAAATCTCTTCCAATTTCTGTGTAACAATTTTACGTTAAATCAAAAAAGTCAAGTCATCCCAATTGTAAGCTCTTGTACTTTTGCAGATTTTATTAGTTGTTCTACAGAGAGTGTTACGATTCATTATCATATATATCTGCAGTTATGTTGCTATATAATACTGAAAGTTTTTGTCCCTCACTTCTGTGTTTTTATGTTTTCTATCAGGCCATAACATGGTGAAGGACATCACAGTGGTCGAAACAAATTACACTGATTACGCTTTGGTTCTCAAACACAAGGTGTTTAACAGAGAGTACACACAGGCAGCGCTTTATGGTGAGACACACACATTCACTTATACATTTTTATATAACGTCTAAACATGTGAGCTCCAATGTGAATATTGTTCATCACTGATCAGTCTGTCTATATGTGTCTCTGTTTGCAGGTCGCTCTCTAAGCCTCAGAATTAATATAATTAACAAGTTTAAAGCCTTTGCCTTGTCCCAGGGTTTCTCCAGAGATTCTATTCTGACTCCACCTCCTGCAGGTAAAGTAGTTGGCACACATATTTATTTACACTCATGCAATATATATATATATATATATATAAACACTTGCACACAAGGACAATGGGACATTATTCTAATTTTTGTCTACATGTTTTCTGGCCGACAGAAAATTGCCCACCATCAGGATCTGGACGTCAGGTGAGTCTCTTACACCAGGGGTGTTACGTTTACATTCCGGTGTGTGAGTGACTTCTGCCCAATAAATCTTTAGTAGTAACTTATTTACTTACAGTAAATTATTTTCTGTTATTCTTTGTAGGTTCCCTGATGTACCTGAGATGAGGGTGCCAGCGTATTCTGATTTTGCATTTAAGAACTACAAAAAACCTTCATCATCATTCTGGCTACAAAGATAATATAATTAGCTAATATTACTGATGAAATGTACTCTTCCTCCTCTTTTATGTGGTGGTTTTCATCCTGTGCTGTCATAGTTAAATAAACAACATTAACCTCCTAAATATAAATTGGATTGTTTCGCCGTGTTGACTTAAATAATCAATATTAATCTCCATGTTTGAGCGTGTGTATAATCTATAGTTTGTCTGTTGCACACTGCAAGTAGTGTAGTTCACATATGAACACCAGGGGGCAGATGCTATACATCACCACACATCAATGTGTTTCTGCTGTGACCTCATTGCTCTCTGATGTGCTATCTATTGCTAACTAATAAAAAGACAGCTATGTTACCCAATATCATACAGCCTGTAATGCACATATGATACTGTGAGAACCTAGATTAAAGCCACAACATGTAGAATTAAGAGAATGTTCCCTTTGGTACCCCTTGTGTTAGTTTCATGAAAGACACTGTGGCAGACAGAAAGACAGCTGTTAAATTCTCACTTGTATTGATTGGTTGTTTGTTTAGCTTCAGATTCTGAAGTCCAGGGCTGATTGCTGATTATACACACTGTCATATGGACAAACACCCACACGCTAAGAAACTCAAAGACAAATAAAGAGACAATCAGAACTTTGCTCAATGGGTTTTGTGGTTTTTGTAGTGTTGTGGGAGGAAATTTACAAAACCAGTTTGACTCAAGGGGGCTGACAGGATGCTGAGTGCAGGGAGTGTGGTGTCTCTGCTGGTCCTGTGGTCGGCCTGGACCCCGCAAGTGGCCCCTGTGCACCCCGAACCCCTTATACTTGCACAGGAGAACTTTAATCAGAGCCAGGTGAGTGGTTGTAAATACAGGTTTTATTATTTTATGACTTTGTTTGACTTTTTATGATTTTATTTATTTATTTAAGGCAGATATTACAGTCAGTAAAATGTCTGTTGTGATATTTACAGATTTTTTCAAATTATTCCAGAACCATAATCAAAATAATTCTTCTTTTCATAATATATTACAGTAGCTTCCCTCTGAGACCCCTTTTAATAACCACTCAAATAATCCAACTGGGGATGGAAATAACCATCTATAAAAGTAAAACATGCAAGTGTTTTATTACAGGTTCTGAGATCAGCACATCAAGCCATATGCAAATGCTTTACTCTACAGTTCTGTCCCTTGCAGTTCATGGGGAAGTGGTATGAGGTAGCAGTGGTTGCTACTTGTCCTCACTACATGCAGCGCAAGAGGGGGAACCCAGTCATTGTTGCACTGGAGCTGCAACATGTTGCCTCTGAGGCCAACTTCACAATGACGGCCACTAGTTTCAGGTTAGACTTAGATATATTTTAGTAGACACACAGGTTAAAGTATTCAGTGTAACCTGCCCTCTTTGTGTGTGTGTGTGTGTGTGTGTGTGTGTGTGTGTGTGTGTGTGTGTGTGTGTGTGTGTGTGTACCTGCACATAGGAATGGCATATGTAAGCAGACATCTACAGATTATAGTTTGACCAACACTCCAGGACGATTCTTCTACCATGTTGCAAGTATGTTTCTCCAGCTTCTTCCACTTCCCATCCTTTTTTTCATGTAACTGTACATTCTATCCCTTTCATGCCACAACATGATTTATTCAACCAAAAAGCAACAGGCTTTGTATATCTATGTGTTTACAAATCTGTCATGCAATGTATGTACACTTTCCTCTCCGCAGGGTTTGGAGCAGATGTTGATTCCTTTGTGGTTCACACCAACTATGATGAGTACGCAATGATGCTTCTGCTGAGCACAGAGATGCCATCAGGGAATAAAACCACCATAGTAAAGCTTTATAGTGAGTTGTGAAATGTGTTGTTTTTCATTTGATATATGCATCAGTCTGTGTAATGGTAGTTCCGTCTTCCTCAGGTCGAACTATGAATGAGACGGCTGGACTGGACAGCTTCAAAACCCTTGTCAGACAACATGGAATGAGTGATGACACCATCATCATGAATCATAATAAAGGTACACTCTCTCTCACACACACACACACACACACACACACACACACACACACACACACACACACATATAGGCAAAGCACAGGTGTGACTAACAAAAAACAGAAACACCCTCTCCATCTTATTGTCTTCCCAGGTGAATGTGTTCCAGGTGAACAGGTGACAACGCCTATCACTGCTCAGCCTCAGGTACATCCTTCACACTGTGAATGTGCTTAAATAACATTTGCATACGAAAGACATGTATATAAAGACTGGTTAGTCACCTGTTGAGGGTACATTGTGTGTCTGTTCAGATTTTTGTTCCCGAGAGGGTGAAAAGAAATGTGCTGCCACCTGTGGTTCCTGCACAAGAGGAGGAGCTGTTGACCAGGTGAGAGGACAAGTGACTGACTTATTGTTTAAAGGTCATAGTACATAAATACTGATCAGTGTTTAGTATGCATTTATTTATTTTCCACTCATTATACACTGACTCAGGCTCCCACAGATTGCATATGGTAGCCTGTGGGGACATTAATTTGTGAGCTATCGAGGGTATTTTTTGTCCCCAATGTTATTGACATTTTATTAAATTTTTTGACTTTATTGGACAGTGTACAGTAGACAGATGGCAGGAAATGAAGGGAGAGAAATGTAGAATGGCATGCCCGAACTGGACGCAAATAGGTGACGATGCATCTCTTGGCCAGCACCTCCTCAATCCATCTGGACCCCATCGTTGGCATTTCCAACCCCAAGGCCTTTTATTTCAGATCATTACACAAGCTCTAAAGCATCCAACTGTGTGCACACAAAAACAAATACCACACATTGTATTTCTGTCTGATTTTTGGCATATTAATCGATGTTTGTTTACTGTTACAAGGTGAGAGTTCATGTGGAATAACTGAAGAGTAGAACCATCACATAAACAGAACCATTAATGCATTGAGTGTGAAAAACATGTTCCCCAGTAAATAATCATTAGCACTGATTTCCTATGTATACATTGCCTACTGTATGAATATTATTAGCCACTACTGTGTTTCTTTTAGTTATTTGAAAGGCTTGGTATGTCAAAATAATTTGCAATTTAAGTGCTTTGATTCAGTGTTTATCTGAGTGCATTTGACCTTTGGGAGTACATACTGAAGCTCATACTGTATGCTGCAAAGTTTTAAAAAACTGTTGAGAAATGTTTGTCTGAATCTCATTTTTCAAACATAAAATAAACTAAAGACAATAAATGAAACAAAGTAAGATTGAAGTGCAAAAATTATAAAATTATAAAACTCTATTCCCACCAGAAAACTATTAAAGAATCTGTTTCATAATTGGTGCTTTATTGCTTTTGAGGTAGCAATTAATCTCCCCTTTATAATAAAAGAAATAGCATGAAACAATATTTATTATCTAGATCTCTTGTTTGAAGTTAATATTCTTACTCTAAATAATATGTTGTCATTTATTTCCTATGTTTTAATTAATCATGGAGGGTCTTTCTATTGCAGAATGGACAGATGCTCCGGGGATAAAAGCAGTAACTAGGGCCTAAGAAGAAAAAGCAGTGGAAGTCTTAATAAATGTACAGTGTCATTTAAACACTTGGCTTTCTGCAAGTTCTGTGCCTCTAGAGGTTACAACTATATATATAGGTCGTAGAAATATATAACTTATATCCAACAGAAAACATCAGCATTGTGAAATCGGGGGTATTTAGTTGCTGTGAACTCCAAAAAACTTAATGTGTAATACACAATACAGAATAAAACAAGTAGTTGCTACTCCTTAGTCTCTCAGATCATGGCATGTACTGATTTATTGATGCCAAAACAAATGTCCAATGTTTGAGTGGTCAGCTGCCAGGCAAAGTCAGAACACAAAGCGAGAGACAGAGAAGCAGAACTTTGCTCCTTTACGTGTTTGTTTTTTACTTGGTTGTGGGGGTGAGTGCATGCACTGCACACAAAACATAGGTCAATGCCCTGTTCCCCTCTGAAGAGTTGGAGGAGGGGGTTGAGAAATGGTTAGGCAAAGAGGTGGCCCCTTCCTGGGATTCAGTGTCTCAGACTTTAGAGACGAGTGGACAGGCAGGCTGACAGGATGCAGAAAGCAGTGATTCTTGTTTCCCTGCTAGTCCTGGGGTGGAGCTGGACCCTCCAGGGGGTCCCTGTACTCCAAGAACCTCTCTTTCCCACGCAGGAGAACTTTGATCAGGCCCGGGTGAGTGACAGAGTTCTGCAGTCTTGCATATTATTTTTCCTCTTGTATATGTATGTATGACATAATATAATATAGATATAGGTATATATAATGCAGGAATGCACTTCTGTACTCCTTCTGTTCTCTGTTCAACTGTTTCTTTCTGTGATTAGATTATTACTTTTACTTATTAGATAAATAAATCATGTTAATGACCTCAACCATAACATACATATCCTGAATAGAAAATAATGTATTCTTTATGCATTAAATATTGAAAACGCTAAAGCAGTTTAGGATAAAGAAAACAGACACAGTGGACTTCAGAGACATTCAGTTACATGCAGGAAAAATCTAATTTAAGTGCATTACTGGTAAGTATTACATCGTCATTTTTATTGTAAGATCTATTCTAGTGAGCTCTTCAAAAGACTTCATATCTATAGTAAGCTGAAGAGGACTGACTGAGTGTCCTTTATTAGTACTTCTCTCAAGTGTTAAGTGTGATAAAAACCTTAAAAACAAATAAAGTATAAGAATATTTCAAAATCATAATTTTTGACTGATATGTTATTTGTTGTACTGGGCCATATGCATTACTGTTCTCATCAAGTCTTTGTTCAGTGTTTACATTCTGTAACATTGTTATTATCTTTATAAAGTGGGATAAACAGTATTTTTATGTCTTTGGTCTATATACTGAACCAACAGTACCGATCAATTATAGATTTTATGTGCATTGTGTGTAAGATATATATATCTTATGGTAACAGTTTTTGGGAACCTGGTATGATGTTGCCGTGGCAAGTACGTGTCCCCATATGCAAAGTCACAGGAAAGATGCAGCCATTGGTAAACTGGTTCTGCAGAGCAGCACCCAGGGCAAACTCAAGGCAACTCGAACTGCACTCAGGTATGTAAGATGTACAAGCACCATACTTATACACACACTTACACACTAATGCAACAAATTAATCAAAATACATGCTTTTTGAAAACCTCTTTCTCTTAATTTTATCAAAAATTGGAAAATACTTGTCAAAAAGTGAAAATATATGCAATTTTGACAACTGAAAATTTCATTTTTATCATCTTTAACCTTCTTTAAACACTGACTCTCTCTAAACATTTTCATCCAATGAGACATAAGGTAAAACAAACATAAATATTTAATTAACAGTCCAGTTCAAAGTGTAAAATCCAGTGGTTCAAATTGTTACTCAAGTACTAATTTTTGTATTTGTGAAGACTTTATACTTCCACTCCACTACATTTCAGGGGGTAATATTGTACTTTTTTCTCCACTACTTCTTTGCCAGCTTTAGTTACTTTGTAGGTTCAGATTATTAATACAAAATATAATCAGCTAATTGATAATGATGAATTATTAAAGATTAAGGTAACTAAGAATAACTACATAGAAACGGCCAGTCTTCTCACTGAAAGTCTCGTTTGTTCGTGTTGGTCATACAGAGGCATCCATATTTAATTGAGAGCCCTGATAATAAGTATATATAGATTCTAATACATAAGTTCTGTTACTTAAGTAAAAAACTTGAATGCAGGACTTTTACTTGTAACTGAGTATTTTTTGTATTTGTTTTGCATTCTTTGTTTCACTATGAAGTTATTGTTTGTGTTTGTGCAGACATGGAACATGTAAGGAGATGTCTGTGGACTATGAGATGACCAGCACACCAGGGCGATTCTCTTATCACATTGCGAGTACGTCCCTCTCTCTCTCTCTCTCTCTCTCTCTCTCTCTCTCTCTCTCTCTCTCTCTCTCTCTCCTTCTCCCTCTCCCTCTGTATAGTCAGTGATACATCTCTCTTTTCAGTCCATGTTGTCCGGGATGTTTTTACAGGTATTATATTGTTTTCCTGTCCTTTCAACAGAGTGGGGGGCAGACGTGGATTCCTATGTGGTTCACACAAACTACAATGAGTATGCTATAATGATAATGAGCAAGCAGAAATCTTCAGGGACTAAGAGCACCTCAGTGAAACTTTACAGTGAGTGGACACTCAAGAAGCACTGGAACATGTCATTATCTAATTAGGTTATTGTTATTTTTTTCTTTTTAAGTACTGTTTCAGATTTGATTCTGATTAAGAAACTAAAAAAGTAAACCAAACCATGTATATTTTTTGTTCTTATCATCTCAAGAATTAGATTTACTTTATTTAATTAAAGTGTTCTTATTGAACTTGAATAAATTATTATGACAATCGTTTGAATCAAACTAAAGTGATCATGAGGTGAATCTGAACACGTCCTTGTACCTTGAACTTTTGACACAATGTTTACATCTGCTTCATCTTATTGATTCTGTCCTCCTCAGGTCGAACTAAGACTGTGAGGGCCACGGTGCTGGCTGACTTCAAAACACTGGCCAGACAGCAGGGAATGACTGATACCAATATTGTCATTAAGCAGGACAAAGGTACAATACAGACAGACAAATAATCACACACCTGTGAATATAAAACATTCAGACAATATTTGAATGAAGATACATGAAGAATGAAACTGTTCAGATCTTTATTGTCCTACAAGAGGAAAGTCTTCAAACATAAACACAATCAAAATACAATAAGACAGTGGACGACATTAGAAGAGTACACTGTCTGGATATAAAGTGGATGGTTGTCTAAATGACATGTTTTTATTTAATTTCTTTGCAGGTGACTGTGTTCCTGGAGAGCAGGTGGCAGAGCCTTCAGCTCAACCTGAGCCTCAGGTACTTACGATACATTTAATCCATCTAAATTGTCTTTCAATAAAACACAGTATAACAAATTCAATATTTTAGTTCTTGTTTTACTTCAGTTCTTATTGAGTGATTTAAATCCACTGTTTTAATTCAAAGAACTACCATAGAAATAAATCATTTTCAGCAGTAGGTGGAGTATTATTATTACAATGTTAGTAGTAGATGTAGTACAGACTACTACTGTGCTCTCAGTAGGAGAGTAAAATAATGAAACAATGTAAATGTGATGGAAGAAGTATCATGTTTTAGCACAATGTAAATAATGGATTTCCCTCATTAGAACTATACAATGTATTGGTGCCAGAATCTATACATTGTACGTGTAATAAATAAAAATACTGGTAAATTTTAAAAAATGTCCATTGTTCAGAGTGTAAAATTATTGATGCATTACAGTAATGTGGGCTATATATTTAATGCTGTTGCTTTACAAGACATCTATACAAAAATGTAATTTGATATGTGTTGCTGTCTCAAAGGATTTTGAAGCAGATTAAGGGCAGATTTAAGGGGAATATTTGGGGCTCAGGTGGCTTTGTATGTCTAATGATCTGTGGCTGTCATACAGCGAAAGAAGAGAAATGTGGTGCCTTCTTTGGCTGTTGCAGAAGAGGAGGGTTCTGGTGGTGGTGATGATGCACCTTTTTTCAATGGAACGGGTTAGTGATCTGCTCACTCAGCTAAATAACAGCTAACCCTGATACGCTTTGATATTACTGTATGATGAGTGGAAGATAAGAGATCTGCAGCAAATGGGTATCTATCCTTCCTTGTGACATCTCTCTCCCTCCCTCTCCCATTGTAGAGTCCTGTAAAGCAGCACCAGATACCGGACCTTGTTTTGGGCTTCACCAGCGATACTTCTACAACTCCTCTTCAATGAGCTGTGAAGTCTTCAAGTATGGAGGGTGTATGGGCAACCAGAACAACTTTGAAAATGAAAGAGAGTGTCTGCAGAGATGTCGCACTGAGGGTGAGGAGTAAAATATGAAAACACAATATCTTCTTATGGGAATGATTGTACAATACATGCAGCATCATTATTTTTGACCTGCCAATGTATTCTGTATCAGTGCAATATTTTGTTTCTATCTCAATCTTTTTTTTCTTCCAAATTTGGAATTTCTCCACTTCAACAAACTGCTGTTGGGGTTGTGTTGGGAAGGATGGAGACACCAAAAACGCATGTAGTTGCAGCCACTTCTTTTTACCAACCAGTAGAAGCTGCTGATGCAGGGACAAGAACATGATTCCTCACTGGTCTCCCACCTACAAATACAATACAAGGGATTGGGTTTCCCATCTGTTGGCCAAATTGAAGTAATATTGCCTGTTACGATGCTCAGATGTGAGCTGGGAAAAATAAAAAAAGGAAAAACATTGGAAACGCATGAAAATATCAACACTTCTGGGTTGTCTCTCCCCAGCTGTTTGCCGTCTGCCCATGGCGGCCCAACCCTGCACAGGCCAGCCACCCATCTGGGCCTTTGACTCCACTGCCGGTCTGTGTGTGCTCTACAAAGGGGGCTACTGCCAAACCAACGCTAACAAGTTCTACACCAAGGCTGAGTGTGAGGAGTACTGCGGGGTGGTGAAAGATGGTGAGATGATATAATAAGATATAAAGAAATACAGAAATGCATAACAGAGACACATTTTAAGGCCCCCGAAAGTTCTGGAATAACTGTCAATACACCGCCCGTGTATATGTGCTAGACACCAGAAGGAAAGCTTGATGAAACTGCATGTACAGCTTGTATGTCTTCATGCAAATGCACCAAATATCCATTTACATATGATCAAAAGATTGAATGTTATTCTGCTATTTTACAGATGCAGAGCTCCTGAAGGCAAACTGAGAAATATTGCTGCACATCTGAACTTATCTGTGTGTGTATTTTGGACCCAGGAGGGAAAAAATGGAATTTCCCCCACTGAGGATTGATAAAAGTAATTCCTCTTCATATTGTCTGCTTCTGTACCTGTAATAACAGAGTAGGTACCTGCTAAAAAAAAAGGGGGGAGAGAGATATCTGTTCAAATGAAGAAAAACTGAAGTTTATTGCAATGGAAATATAATTTCCTGTGGATGACACGTTCAACTGTACTTAGAGTCAAGGGTATGGTCTTGACCTGCTCCGTATGAAAAGTGCCCTGAAATAACTTCTCTTATGCCATACAAATAAAATGCACAAAATGCCACAAATGTATTGTTTCCACTGTCTGTTACTTTGATCAACATCCCAATCAGAATCTCTCTTCCATTCAGGACACATTTATTATCATCACTGCACAAAGAAATATATATATGTAACATCATATGCAATTAATTAACTGCTGATCTCTTGAACAGAGTTACGTTAACAGTAGGACCCTCCACAGTACTGTTAGCTGCTGTATCACAGCCCCGAACCCACATACAATCTCATATTCAAAATATTCCACAATAAATGCATTTGTAATTGTTTTTATTAGGTTAAACATGCACATTTCCAGTTTGGTTAACAAAATTGCAAATTCTGCAATGCCTTATTTCAGCTTTTCACTGAATCTCAATCACATTCAAGTGTGATATTCTTCCAAACAAAAAAACAAACAAAGCAAGCAATATAAATACATCAAGACCACATCGAGACCACCAATATATCAGGGATAATAGACACCTCAATAGCTTCCTGTCTTACACAGCAATGATTAACAAGGTCATAATACCCTCTTGCAGCAGCACCCGTATTATAAAATGCACTCCAGCTTACAGCACGTAGCAATACATTTGAACAACAGCAACACTTTAACCTATATCAGTAGAATAAATAACCCACACACTGATATATTTATATTATTTACATATTTCTACTCATTAAATTGGAGTCCTTATTCATTTCTGAGGTAGGGTATAAACTCTGCCAAACAATGCACATATCCTTTCCTTTGTAAAACACAAAACTACTATTTCCTTATTTAATGTAATAACAATGCTTTAAGGGTCCAATGTGTAACATTTAAGAGGATACATTGGCAGAAATGTAATAGTAACATGTGTAGCAGAAGGGCTAATAACTTCAAAGCATTCATCTTTACAGGTTTTTATTGACTGGGCATAACCAGGAGGGGGCGATATTGCTCTATTTACAGGTGATTCACATGTATTTCACATAATCTCAATCAGATACATACACACACACACACACACACACACAAACAGTAAAAGACACAAACAGTACACAACAGCACCTTCCTCATTCCTGTGTCATTAGCCTCTGTACTTCCAATTTAACTCTCTCCTCGCTGCTTATGTTTGTTTGTTTTTTACAGCAAATGAGTCTGACAGTGCTGCAAAATCACCACTACTCTCTCTCTCTCTCTCTCTCTCTCTCTCTCTCTCTCTCTCTCTCTCTCTCTCTCTCTCTCCTGTAAAGGAGCCAGGCTTCCTGCTCTTAGTTCCCAGAGTTCCCGGCTGCTGGCAGTAGAATGCTGGGAATATCCGGAGAGGAAGGGGAAGTGACATCACAGCGGTGACCTTCCGTACCAGGCCATATCACCTGGTGCTGGCTGGACGAGACTTACCAAACAAGCACAAACACACACACACACACACACACACACACACACACACACACACACAGAGAGAGAGAGAGAGATAACCACAAGCACATTCACTAAGAAACCTTATTGACACACTTTAGTTTGCTTTCCAGGAGAAGAGAAAGAGAGAGTGAGGAAGTGATAAGTGGTCATACAAAAAAAAGGTTCCAATACCTTCGCATTTACAGGCTGAGCTGACCAAATATTTGACAGGAAAATTCCCACCACACAATGAAAAAAAACAGCCTGTCCCACAGTGTGTGGTGCTGCACAAACCTGCTTCCTCAAAATGTTTTAAAGGACCAGCGTGTAGGATTTAGTGGCATCTATGGAGGAGAAACAATGGTGGCCACGAAAATGTGAAAGGCCCTGTCTGGAGCCAGTGTTTGTTGTCTGTTCTGGGCTACTGTTGAAACTGTTTTGAGGTACATTCACTAGACTACTTAATTTCAGAGGAAAATATTGTACTTTTTACTCCACTGCATTCATTTGACAGCTGTAGTTACTTTTCACTACCCCTTGCATTAATAATAATAATCTGGTTCTGATTTGTCCACGAGTTGCTATCAGTTCATAAATGATTCCACACCATTGTCAATAGTGACACTGGTGGCCATTTTGTGAACTGCAGTCAGCATCTGTTGCTCGCACTCACACTCTGTACGTAGGCGTGAGCAGACATTATCCTGGGGATCGGCCAAAATGGACATACATGAGACAGAATGTTACTATCTGCAGTGCTCATTGGTTATTTTGACCACTGACTCCAACCTATTTAGCTTTGGTTACAGTTAGCCAGCCCTTCCTTGCATCTCTCTTGGCTTGTAGAAACCAAAGATTAGTATGCACCTCAGCTTTGTACTGTTGGCTAAAATCAATACCGTTGACTGGTAAAGTGATTTTGCAAGCAGACAAAACATATCCACTCAGGTAGAATTTTGCAGAACGTTGTCTGGTGTGTCGAGTTCTGTCTGTCCCCCAAGAATAACATGCAACTCAGCTATCTATATATTTTTCTTTGAAAGATACTTCAAGTATATCTTCTTGATAATACTTGTGTACTTTAACTTAAGACAGGGAGATTTTGAATGCATATTTTTAGATTGACCAGAATCTGAGTAAGTCTTCCACCACTGCAAATAACTGAAGTGAAAAATCTTCCACCAACCCAAAAGCAAAGTGAAGCAGACGTCAATATACACAGATTGCACACAGATGGGAGCTGGATTTATACATTAACATATGGTCTGTAACAGAGATATTTACCGAGTTTGGAGAGTATCTCAGAGGTTACATTCTTTAGGAGCAAAGGCTGGAAAACACATATACAAACCCACATACTTGCACAAACACAGACATACCAAGACACACACAGACACACACAGCAAATTATATATTGAAAGAACACATGTCTCTGAAGAGCAGAAAGGACAGAAGAAGACGGGTATCGACAGGGAAGGTATGGACAGAGGGTAGTAAATAGTTAAAAAGGATCAAAGAAATGTCATTATACAACACAAGCTTGTACAACAAATGAAACTCTACAGTCCCTCCCTGCTACACACTAATAGAGGCCCGGAAAGAGAAAGAGAAGATGCAGAGGTCCTTTAATGCCAAATCAGAAAGAGAGGGAGGAGGGATGAGTAGTAATTGGAGGAGGAGGGAGTGAAGGGAGAGATGGAGTGTGTGTGGTGGAGACGTCATTATGCAGGATGACAAAAGAAGAAGGGATTCTCTGGTCAGCTGCTGCTTCTGCTGCCACTGTCTATTGTCCGACCAAGGACCCCCCCTCCACACACACACACACACACACACACACACACACACACACACACACACACACTACTCTCTCATCTTCTGTTGGACATCACTTTCTTTCCTTCTTCAAGTTCAACTCTGATTACAAGGCCGACCAACTGGCAGCCCCAAACATTTAAAAATCCTGAAAACCCCCTCCCCTAAACCACAGCTGTGTCATCTGAGTGTTTTCAGCAAGTCTGAGACCGAACAGATGTTCTCCCAAGTCCAGAAAAATTTGCAAAGGACTTCATGTGTGGAAAGAAAACACTTAAATACTTAATGCGGCTATTCAAGTAGAAGTAAGATTGCTTGTGTTGAAAACTAGTAAAATTACCTAAATATTTGCTAAAGAAGAAGAAGAATTTTTTAGAGTGAATAATCTTTTACCTGTCAGTGCTGTGCTGAGAAATACTAAATAAAGGGATTATAAGTTGCTACTCATTGCTTTATGGTCATTAGAACCAATACTCGTAGGCAATAATTTTTCAATTTCAATTTTATTTGTATAGCACCAATTCATAACAGAAGTTATCTAAGGACACTTTTCAAATACAGCTGGTCTAGACCAAACTCCTTATAATAATAGTTAGAACTGGCCCCATCAGAATAGTAGTTGGGTTTTAAAAAAGAGAAAAATGCTATCTTCATAATTTAAGTTAAAAGCATTATTTGAATTCCATACAAGCATTATTTAAAGTAGTATTTCGTGGTCTGGTGAAGCATTTGTGAACACAGTAAATAGAAAAAAATATTAAGTCTCAAATAGTAAAAGAGATAAATAAAAAATCTTAAGAAAGTTAAATACTTTTCACACAAGTATTATTATTTATTAATTAACAAATAATAAAACAGTTACACCTTATACACACAATATAATGTATGCCTCTCTAGTAAGCGGTAGTCTACCTAATCCAAACTCCTCTTTAGTAAATGTGAAGTCACTGATTTAAGACCTTTTTTTTTTTTAAGTAGAAGTGCATGAAAAAGCGGATCAATTAAACTAACGAGCGTACTTGTAATTAGTTGTTTTTCACCCATTGAGGAGTTTTATTGTTTTTAATGAAGGATGTTTTATAAGAGGAGGCGATAAATTCAGCCAACTAATAGAAGCGGCTCTGAATGAAGCTCCTTTCTTCCCTTTGTGTGTGTGGTGTGTATGTATGCGCCTCACGTAAGTGGCCTCAAAGGTGCTGAGCTCTGCATTATCATTAATTTACCTCCTTGGTGTTTCTACGGGCGCTGTGCAGTGGTGTTCGAGTGTGTATCACGTTGAGTAATAATATCATAATGCTTTCATATACACAATCAGTGTGAACTCATTAATGTGGAAATGCAATTTTGAAGTGTGTCTTCATTTCTGTGTTCAAGGCAGTTCAGACCAAATGACCCTTGACCAACTGACCTCGAGAATATTCAACCTTCCACTGTCTCTCCAGTTTGTGGCCCATTCCCCTTTGATTGGTCTCTCTCTGACACACACACACACACACACACACACACACACACACACACACACACACACACACACACACACACACACACACACACACACACACAGAGGACATATGACCACTCAGTGACACTCGCAGACTGACAGACACAATAGGAGACCCAGCACATTCCTTTCCCCAGGTGGCATAAAAGACGCAACCAGGTCAATGGCCTAATGGGCTCCAAACCAATGGCCGACGATCATTAACCCCCGACGAGTGTCAGTTCCTCATACCCCTAGCCAGACTATTGTGTGACCACAGTGTGTTCGTATACAGACTATTGTGAAGACTATTGTGCAAGGGTTTTTTCTGTCGTGTGGAGCTGGTT